CATTCACAGTAAATACTTATCTACCTCCATTTCCAAAAGATTTTGTTATGTTTTCATTACTTAAGAGATATCCTTTGGCATATCTTCAATTTGAATTGTGGCTTTATTTATCAATATTTCAAAAATTCTCATTGCCTCTTTGAATGCTTTTTTCTTTGAATTCAACCTTACCTGAAATTAGTATTTTGTAGCATTTTATTTTTGTCTTTATCTTATGAGTTTCTCGTTTATTATTATTATTATTTTAAGCTTTGTAATTCCGTGTTAAGCTTTTCATCTGGGTGGGGAGCATATCTAATGACAACAGAAATATACATGTAATTCCGTGTTAAGGCTGTAATTCCGTGTTAAGCAACAGTTATAATATGTATTATAGTTATTTTTTCTTCCCCATATTGATCTCCTCTTTCTATTTACTTATCCTCAAAAGAAGAGACTTATTGAGAGGTAGTGTTTACCAATCTAGAATGTGTGTGAATACTTTTGCTAAAGTCTACAATTAAAGTACCCCACGAAGCCCAGGTTAGTTCAACAAGTAGACTTGTGGGCTGAAGTGAGAACTTTAGTACACCATTTTTAGGTCCTCTCACACTCTGATCAGATGGATTGATGCAGTCTCAAGCATCTATATCTATCTGCTACTCCCCAGAACTTATACTCACTTCTAATGTTTTACTTCTGGGGACAACACTTCCAAGATGTAGGGTAATCTGCCTGTGTCCTGTTCCCATTACTTTTTTTTTTCAGTTTTTAAAATTTTATTTAACTTTTATTGGCATATCAGATGTACATATGATCATTTGATACATTAATATGATCAAACTAAGGTAATTGGAATGTCCATCACCTTAAATATCTATTCCCATTACTTCTTGTCCTATGGTTTTATGGGGGTTACACTTCTTGATACAGTTTGGAAGCAGAGGGACTTAGTTCTGGGTAGTGGTATAGCAGGATATATGAAAGGGTTTCTTTTCCTTTTCTCACCCTTCAAAAAAAAAACAGCAGTTATGCATTAGAGCAACAGCTAGTAATATTCTGTCTAGAACTCACCTTGATTGTCTCCTATTCACTTCATTGGTGCTAGAGGGACCCCCTCCCCATCCTAGATAGTATGAGATAGTGGGAAAATACTCCTGACATTAGAGAGACGAAACTGACAGCAGGTTTATTAGCTACATATACTCAATCCCATTTGTCTATTTTTGACAAAAATACAACCTGAGAGAGAAGCCATGTCGTGCACGGTCACATGGGGTTTGGGAATACAGTGAACAAGCAGGGTCTGAAGGGGGCAGATTTTGTAGTAATAAAGGGTTGAGGTGATCCCTGACTTCTGTAGAAGGATATGATTAGTTTGTTTGAATAATGTTGAAGGATAGCAGGGAAGTGAACCTGCTAAATTGAGGGCTGCGAAGAGTGTAACTGGTCTGACTAATAGGGGATCTAGCCTGGTGGGAGCCTTTCCCTCTGGGTGGGGAGCATATCTAATGACAACAGAAATATACATGGCTAGGCCTTTGGGAGCCTGTGAGGCTTATAGACATCAAGACAACAGATAAAAAATGTTGAACCTTATAATATAGGTTATTAGATTGGAGACAGGTAAAATATGTTTCTCTTTCATGTTAGCACATTTGTGCTGTTTATAGTATTATAGTATGTGTAAGTCACCATATATATTTCTCAATCCAGTATTAAAAGTCTTAAATTTAATGTAAACTACTCCAAGAATCTCTTCACAGTAGGTTAAATGTCTGTCTCAGGATTTGGGTAGAAATGTTGCCTTAGGTATTTTAGAAGAATTTGGGGTAAGCTATTTCAAAGAATGCAATCCAGACATTTTTTAACTGTTGAGAAGATGATAAGGAAAGTCATAAAAGCAGTATGTCTATTAGCACCAAGAGGGGTGCATTTGGTGTAAGAGTAGAAACATAAGGGTTCTAATGAGTAATACTTGACTTCTCTGTGCCTTCACTCTTTAATCTGTAAACTGAAAGAACTAGTCTAGATGATTCTACAGTCCTTTTGTCTCTAAAATGACTAGGATAATTTAAGATCAATAGGAACACTTTGGCATCTATAAGATCTAATACTCCAGAGTAATCACCAATTGCGAGTCCCCTGCTAATCTCTGAATCCATTTTCTTAAGCAATTTGCAATGCCCATTTCCTGGTACATGAAAACTTCTTTAAAAAATGATTTTCAAATGAACACATAAATTTAGCCGAGTAATAATATATATGAGGAATTCTGAACAATGCTCTACTACTCCAACATTATTACTAACTAATTGGTTACACTATTAAAGCACATAACTGGGGTTCACTGTGGGATTTAAAATGGCATGTGATGAAGGACCCACCAGACCCTTTCTGTGGCACATTTTTTCTCATGTTCCTGTTCACCTAATGGGAGATCTGGAGAAGTTCAGTTAGTCTTATTCTAGACCTGAATCTTCACTTTGTCTCCTTTTGCAAGGATGCTCCTGATTTCAATCAGCCACTAGAAATGTCAGATGAAAAATGGCACAAATGTGAATTACGACAATAAAAGTTTATAAGCTACTAAAATAAAGTTATAGTACCTAAGAGCTGAGTCAACTGACAATGTTAAATGGAACATTTTACAACTAGTCCTGGGATAATGATTTTTTTTTTAAATGGCACATAGAACATGAAGAAATATCTGGCAGGAAACAGGCCCAAGATCAAGCTCAGGCTACATGATTTTGTGTTAGCTACCTCGAAAGGGCAAGAGGAGGTGGCAATCTAAGGTTTAGGGAGTGCCTCCTCTATGTCTAGCCCTTGAGGATCATTATCTTTCTTCTCATAACAACTCAGTGAGGTAGGTATTTTCATCATTTTAGAGAGGAAGCACTGAGGCTCAAGTGGTCCAGTTATTTGCTTAACAACAAAACTGTGAATAACAGGGGCTAGATTTCCCTTAAAAAGTCTGTCTGACTCGAAAATCTTTTCTCTTTTTACATCTTTTAGCTTCCACTGCTGTCTCTTCACATAGACAGATAATCTCTGTATAAATAAAGCAAATTTTAGGTTTCCTGAGGAATCTTCCTGTCTGACTTGATGCAAGTATTTGTTCCATGCTATCTATTCAGACGATGGTTCCCTTTACCATGGAGCCTGCCATGTAAATTAGCTATAGCGAATGTTTAATTATAGCTAAATAAGTCAGAAATATGGGACCAAAATGAAGATCGGAATTAGAAAACCAAACACTAAAAATTATATTTAAGAAAGAATACAGGAACATTATAAAGACTTTAAAGAGGTGATACGCCAATCCTTAGGTGTTTGTTTTTTAGATAACTCTGCTCACAAAATGTTTTGTGTATGCCTGCAAATTTCCACTACCTTTCTCTAATTTTCTAGTACAACAGTTTCCTGTCCTGTCACCTCATACCTCCAAATACCAGGTCAACGAGCTTCTCATTCATGCCCACCACTTGTCCCCAAAGACAGACACAAGGATTCTGGCAAGCCCTGGAGGGTCTGGTGTTGTCCCCCAAAAGGCTGGTATTTTCTGTAATCACACAATTTCTTCAAAATATTATGTTTTACCTTTAAAGATCTTACAAAATTTATATTATTCTCTCTTATCTGACTCTTATTCTATAAAGATAGTCCTTTTAATCACTTATTATGAACCAAAATTCATGTTCCAAGAAGAATTAATGTCATGTTAATTCTGAGGCTTCACATGCGCTGTGCAAACTTCTTTTACTCTAGCCAGAGAAACACGATGACAAAATGGTATAATCACATGACATGCAAAGTGCTGATGTGAAATGAAAAGGACAGAAATACGACTGGGATATTAATTCAAGAGGGGGAAAAAATAGGACAGTTTGAATAGGCTTAACAGGATGGTTGAGTTCCTCCTGAAAATAAGTGAGATGGTATCTCATCTTATCTTGACCTGCACCCTCAACTCCCTCCATTCAAGTCCAATCAAATGTTTAGTTACACACACACACACACAAACATATTATGCACGTGCATGCACAAAAGTACACACATACACATTAAAAGGGCTACACAATACCCAATAGACATATAGAAAATATCATTGCTGTTTTTAAAGTATTGCCTAGAACTCCGTGCTGCATGTATAATACATACAATATAATGTATTCTATTTTATACATTATATTAAATAATACCTCAAAACCTACTGAAGAAAAGTTGAAAGTGTGTGTGGATATAGATATAGAGATATAGAGATAGACACAGAAATAGAAAGTGAGACAGAGTTATAGCAAAGATTCAAAGTAAAAGTCAAAACATAGGAACAAATTAAAATAATTACCTTGAATCCTGAATAGTTTCATATATGCCTAGTACGACATCATAAGGAAGTGGGGATGATTTATTCAATGATATTAAACTGAAGAAAGTACTTATCAGGTAAAAGAAAATCTCCATGTAAACCAGAGATTGCAAGTAATTTGATCAATAGGGTCTGTATATTGTCATAAAGTAACCCCGGGGTTATCAAAATTGTCAAAAATAATGTAACATCTGCCACCTGTGTATAGTATCTCATTAACCTTTCAATTAGCAAAAGCAACAGACTATCTGGTGATGGAAAATATTTTACATTTATAGATATTTGCCAAATAATCTGTAGGTGCCAGGCACTGTGCTAGATACTAGAATATAAGGATAAATACAACACAGTTCCTGCAAATTAATAGAATTATGAGGATTGCCTTTACATGCCCAGTTCTTCTGACATCTGTATTGTAGGATGCAAATTAAGGGTGGTTTTTGACCTTCAAAATATTTGGGGTGCCTTGTTTATCATTTTACTGTTAATTACAGAATTAATTGAATTTTGACAATGAAGTTTCACATGAACCTTTTTGTTTTGTAGATATTATTGAAGCGAATAAAGCTCTATGAATTGTGGAATGATAAAATATTCACAGAAACTTACAACTCTGCAGCTGAATAACAATTACATTTGTTCCAAACAGGTGATTGGTTTCCAAACACATTAAACAAAGGCAATTTAGAAAGTTTCTTCTTCTTCCTGGCATCATTAACATTGTTGAACGTCCTGGGATTCTGGAGTGTTTCACAAAGGTAAGTGTGTGGTAAGATGAACAATTTCTGAGTCCAGGAAATATCGGCCTGGGAACCAACACTGAGCCAGGAAGAATTCCCTATGCCATGACTGGACAAAATTAGCATATTAGAGAAATTTAACAGATTATTCAGAGCAAGAAATTCAATTTAGACTTCACTTTTCCCATCGATTCTCATAATAAAATAGTGCTTTACTAGATTCTAAAACAAGATTTTTTTCCTCCACTATGTAGTACCACTTTAAAATTAGAAATAACCATATTGATAATAAAAATGAATGAATCATTATCATTAAAAGCAAATATAATTAAACAAATAGCTATGAATCTAATGACGCTTGAGATTTGGATCCCATTCAGGCCTTTAAATCAGCAGTGACCATTTCAAGGTCAATAGCAAGCTGTGCAAAATCCCTTAGTTTGTCACCTGAGACCATTCAGTAAATGTCATCTACTATCTGTCCATTACCTCCCCCCCCAGCCCACCCCTGGCATATCCTTGGATAACTGTGTGCTTTTGAGCAAATTGTCTAACCTCTCTGAGCCTCTGTTTTCATACCTGTAACATAAAGACAATAACACCAACCTCTTCTAGGTTTTAGGGGAATGAATTTTGATAAAGGGCTAAGCCCAATGTTTGTCACGAAGTAGGAACTAGACAGTTTTTTCATTTTCCTCACTTCCTCCCATCTGTGTATGTCTTTAGTCATTTAGTCATATATTATCCTATCCACTGTCACTTCTCCCTGGCTTAAATCATTATTTTATTCAACTCACAAATCTCTTTTTGAATATCAGCCATGTGATAGGTAGTGTCATAAACTAAAAAAGATGCAAAGTCAGTAAGTCAATACATGTTTAGTGCCACAAATTCTGCTCTCATGGGACTCATGGTCCAATATGAGCAAAAGGATTAAACTCCATGCAAGGCAGAATTGATGACAAAATTAAAAGGCTTAGTGGCTCCCCGAATTTTTACATTTCTTACCCTCCAAAGTATGTAAGTTGTCAAACGGATTCTCCACAATGTGTCATTTTCCTAAATGCCGGTCTCATTCTTAGACTGAAAATCAAAGTATAGAATCAGAGTCTTGCAGAAAGATTCAACAGGAATGTCCTCCGCTTTGTAGCAAAACAGATCTGGTGATAAAAGCTGAAGCTGAAGGCAGGGCCTCTTTCCCCTCCATTCACTGCTTCCAAACATAAGAGTTGCCTGCCTGCCATTTTTCACAAACCTGTTTTGTCTCTCAATTTTTACTTTGTCTCCTACTGTAAGGTTTGACTTTGCCAAATTACTTTCATGAAGTGATTCAAAAAGCATTCTTGAGAGTCAGCCTAGCTAAAACCAGTTCCACACTTATCAGCTGCACAAACTTCAGCAAGCTGTTTAGCCTTGCTAGGCCTAAGAATAGTAACTGTGTCATAAACCTGTTGAGAGGATGAGCAAATATTCTGAAATGCCAGCAATAATAATAATAATGGTCTCACAGTTAGCCTTAAGCTCCTGTCTTCCTCCTTTTTATTCCTCTCCTAGACCTGAGGTATGGCCAAGATGACCGTGGTCATGGGCGGAGTTCAGGTAGAAATTAACACTGCAACCAGAATCTTTTAGCTCAGGGATTAACTCATTCATTCATTCCATCAACATGCTAAGCATTGTTCCAACGACCTGAAAAATAGAATTGAAGCAGCCAATGTATCAGTCTATGTGGAGTTAACATCTAAGGTCCAAAGTATAATATTCAAATGGGATTCTTTCTCTGTGATTGTGTAACAAGTGAGTTACATAAAGAAGTGAGAAATGGTGAGCTGGGGTGCAGAGAAAGAGGTAAGAATCAAAATATACAAAGCACCAGAGACTGAAGGAACCAAAATTGAGAAAAAAACTAAGTAAAAATGCAGGACTTATAAAGAAATAAATCTGATTCTCAATAAATCTCCATCTCCTGTCTACTTGCTTTTCTCCTGCATACTTTCTAGGGAAGGAAAAGAGAGAGGAGGAGGAGGAAACAAAGCAGGAAGGAAAAAGTTAATTAATTTTCCATGTATTGAGCACCTTCTGCATCCAGATGCTACACACACACAAGAAACCTCATTTAACCTCCATCACCTTCCTGTTCATGGATTTTAACACTCTACCTTACACACAAGAAAACTAAAGTGCAAAACTAGTGAAGTAAATTGGCCAGGTTCACACAACTAGGATTCGAACCCAATGTGTTTGTCTCCGTAGCCCATACTCCTACACTCCTCTACTGTGCTGCTTCCAGGTGCCATAGAAGAATCTTCTTCTTGCCCTCTGACATTCCTTAATTCTTATAGGTTGGGAGAAAACTCGCCCCTTCAGTAACTAGACCCACTACCAGCTGTTGATCAACAACTCCACAGGAAAAGAATGGGTGTTACATGAAAGGAGAGACTGGAAAATTTGCCTCAAAGGCCATAATTCAGAAAATTAAGTTCCGGTTCAAAACTCAGGCTCTGCCAACAACTAGTTATATGAACCTTACGCAAGTTATTTAACCTTTTGGAAACTTCTGTTTCCCCAGTCTGTGAAATGGGATGATTACATCCCACCCTGGCATGGTGCCTGGTACTTAGAAAACATTCAGGAAAGCTAGGTTTTTTTGAAGATCAGGGAATAAGAGTGCACATTCTAGAAATATATTAATGAATTTCTTCTTCAACAATGGTGTTTTTTTACATAATCTCAACACCAATTTTACAAATCCCCATTGCGTCTGATAAACCTTTTATGAGTCCTGACCACCATGAAATCTATAAAGTCAATAGGCTTTCAGACTTCCCACTGTCTCTCTCGCTACCAGGATTGAAGAAATGCACTACAGTTTGAAAAAAAAAGAAAGAAATGCCACCTAAAGGTCCTTCTGAGACACCTTCCTATGTACAAAAATGCCTTTTGTCCTTTTATAAAGACTGTTCTGGGGAGCAGTGCTCTTAAATAATCGTCACTGTTTTGTCAGTATCTATGAGTCTATCATAAAAGGTAGACAAGCACAGGAGGAAAGCGAATGATTTATCAAGTCATCTACATCTGGTCCTAAGAAAAGTTTTTTTTCTTTCTTTTTTAGATATTGTAATCTAAATCATTTTAATGTCCAGAACATCAGTGGAAGTAATCTTGAAGAAACACTTCCCCTCGACGAAAAGTCTCTGAAATTTTATGGCAGTATACAGGAATTTTCTTCAAGTATTGATCTTTGGGAGACAGCCCTATGAAACCACATTTGAGTCTTCTGTCTTAAGAGCACAATATTCATTGTTTTCTTCTTCAGTTGAACATTTTATGCGCTTTTGTGGAAGAGTCAATATATATGGGAGTGACTTTTTGAATATTATCTGTGTACTTTATTTACAAAGACTAATTATGACCCATCTAGTAAACTAGTATGCTTTTGCATTAATATGCTATATGTTAGAATTAATAAAGTAATTTCAAAGTCTAGGTGATTCCTCTATGACAAAAAAAATGACAGTTTTCTATACACCAATGGTATTTTACAACTTTTTACAATAGCTCAGTCATTAAAAGCAACACATATGATATTTTTTAGAGTTTTAATGAGTCATTAGATGCAAAATAACAGTATGTCACTAGTCTCTCTTTTAAAACACTTTTAATACCCTTATTACATGCCACATACTTATATGCCAGATACATCTGAGTAAATAAATACATGATTTTGCTCTACTTGATCTTGATATTACGCCATCAAGACATGAATTGATTACAGAAATTTTCTCTGAATTCAAAAGCAATGTTACCAAAATAGATATTCTTAACAAAGAGAGATTATCCACATACCAAAAACATTGAAAAACGAATGTCAGTGATGCAATGATTGAGATGAAAGGAAATAAGAAAATTAAGGAAAGTAGAATGAGTTCCAAGAGAAGAGTAGATGACAAAACCAAACAGAGCTGCTTAACAGGTACTATATAACTGACATCATTTGGTCTCCACCACCAATTCAGATGCTTTCAGAAAATCATCTTCTAAAGGAGTTTCTTCTTCCATAAGCAAAGAAATACAGAAACTTTTTTTAAAAATCAAATAAAACTAAGGTCTATAGCTTTATAGCAGTGCTTGTCAAAATTTGGTTGCGCACCACCTGCTACAAGCAAATCTTTCTGACCCCTACACAGAATGCCTCTACTCAAAGTTTTTCACAGGAACTGGTGGATTGAACAAGCACACCCAAATCATTCTCTTTTTTTAATTTAATTTAATTTTAGAGTTGTGAGGTGCAAGTCAGGATTACATACATAAGTGATTAAGTACAGGTGAAGTTTTGGACTCCCACTGGACCTCATTTCTCCTGGATTAGAATCAGGCATCCTTACTGATGTTATGTGGTCCCCCCGCCCCCCACCGCAGTGTCCTCCTGCTGTCCCCAAATCATTCTTATACCCCATAAAGATTGAAGCCATTGCTTTACAGGACAAGCTATGCAGGATAGGATAGGTGAGTTTATCAGCTGACTGCAAATGATTCTGCAATTAAGTACCTCCCCTGTGTATACATAAAATATATTAGATCTGTAGAATAAAAGATGTATTCAACTTGATTAGGTGTGATATGCATTTGTAATTGCAAAAGAGCAGCTGTAAAGCACCAGGTGTTTCTCTTACTCAAACTATTTTTTATTTGAGGACCAAACGAAAAGACGAGCACTTACAGGAATAAATTCTTTCCCTGCAACTTTTTCAAATCCCTCTTTGTTTAGCAATCACTCCTTGGCAAAACAGTAAAGCAGACCCCTGATATGCCTTAGAAGTTTTCCATGCTGCAAAAGGTTAAGTGCCAAGTTCACAATTTGGGTTTAATGAATGCCCAAAAGATCAAGAAATCTTTAAACACCACACCTCAGTACAAGGGGGAAGCTAACAGTCTCTTTCGGTGTTAGAAAAGAATCTGCTTTATTATTTTGTGCGCATCCCCCCACAAATTTCCTTTATGTCCTTAATTTCTACATTATAATGGAAAAGGTATCCATTATGCTTTCACTCATTCTTAGAGATGAAACATCTTTAGAATTATAAAGTTGACCCAAAGCAAACACCAAAAGAGCTTAGAATTCTCACATTGGCTTTGACGCTCGTGATTAGCTAAATTGCAGTAACGACACGGGCTTCAATTCGGAACAGGATGCGTTCACGCAGCAGTTTCTTCTCTAGTGCCTAGCAACATTATCATTGAGCACCTGGAATAGTTTAGGCATTAAGTGTAATTGGTTTTGCTTTACATAAATCTGTAGCTTTGTAAATAAGCGGAGCATTTCAGCTTCTATATAACACCAATTAACTCAAAGGGATGCGTTGTTTGCAGAAGCCTGCTGAGTTCCGTACTGTATTTCTCTGGTAATACGCTCAGTGGCGGGCAAAGTTCTGGGTCCCTGCAGTGTTCCATTTACTCCAGCCACTTGGTGCCAAGGGTCTATGCCCAGCCACTCATTTGCTCCATTTTTCACCGGTGGTGAAAGGTTGGGAAAGTGAAGTCTCCCCTAAGAAGCACCTTCTGTGCTCTATTTCTGTCCACAATCAAGGCCTGAAAGAGAAGGTATTTGAAAATGTTTTCCGTGACCTGCAGAGCACAGGTCTGACCCCATCCGATTTTGTTCACAACTGACAGTAATATCTCTTTTCTCTTTCTATTTTTCTTGTAACACTTCAATCCAGTGCTGCCAAAAGTCACTACTCTGAACCTGTATACGAAATTAAGAAAATCATGTTATTTTTATAGGAGGTTATGAGTGAAAAGATGTTTTCATCAGAGTGACTTTTTTTAATAGCACAAAATAACATTCAGAGATCTGCTTGTGAAAGTGAGTAGATTTTTCCAGTCCCCTTGGATATTTCTGCTTGTTTTCTCTTTACTCAGCTTAATCTCTTATCTCTCATATCTCCTTCAGGTAATCTTGATTTATAGCATTCATTCCACCCTGGTCAACCTCTAATTCTCTTGGTTTCTGAAAGTGTTTTTTCAACTATCAGAGCAACAGTATCACTAAATAACAGTTCATAATTCAAAAAAGTTCTCTATTAATATTGTATAATTTGCAAATTGAAGGACAGAAACTAATCCCTTCTGAAAACCATCAGGACCCCTTGTTCTATGAAAACAAAGCTTCTACTTGGCATTACCAAGACCAAACTAGTCTTACTACAGGCATCTACCATCTCCACTGCAAGAGAAGCCAGCACACAATTACCGACCACAGGCTTATAAGTAAATCTCTCAGATAAAATCAGCAGCCACTTGGTGACAGCACACAGGTGCTGCTAAAATTCAGGTCCACTTGTAGAGAGCAGGAAAATTAGAGGAACCCCTCCTAGAAACAACTGACTTTTATGTCACCCTTTCCAGTTTACAAGTTTCTATCACACATAATATCACACTTGATTAGCACCACCACTCTGGGAGGTAGGCACATTTTAGCATGCCCATTTTGTAAATAAGAAATTGCAACTCCTGAGACATCAAGTGATTTATCAAGAGTCACTCACAGATTTAGTAGGTGACACAGACAGGACTTGAACTTTGGTCTGCCATCTCAAAAGTGCTATTTCCTTCTACAAACAGCACTCATAATATTACCAATACTGGATCATCCCTAGCCATTTCAGCAAAAGACCCTCTACATCATCCAAAAGGAAACAAGAATGAGAAGATCATGTCAGGGTTAGAGACCCTGACAAAATGGTTAACAAAACAATCATCATTGTAACATCTCTTCATCCCCATACAGCACTCCTGTGAAATCATACATAGTCCCCATGTGGACTGAGGTGGGTGTCAAAAGCATCTACTGGAAAGACCCACCCAGACTGAACATCATGGCAGGGGAGGGGGATCTCAATCTCAAAACCATCCTTTCCTTCTCGCTACATCAAAATAATTTAGATGTGCTACAGTTAATTGCAAACTGCCTTAGAAAAGAGTAATTTGAGGGGGAAAAAGGACCCTGAAAAGTGTTATTGATTGTGAAAACTCGTACCACTTGTAAAGTGCAAGACACGTTCGAAGTGTTTTGGGTATATTCACTCATTTCATCATCACAATAACCCTATAAGTTAAATACAATAGTTAACCATATTTTACAGGTAAGAAGCATGCACAGAGGAGTTCACAACTTTCCAAAGGTTATGCAAGCAGGATAAGTCAAGATTTGGACCCAAGGAATTTGACTACTTAATCTGAGCTCTGCCTATGTAAATTGCTTCTCAGTATAGCTATTATTTACAGTAGGTTTTTCTATATTCCTAGAGGAATCCCAAAGAAGACAATGCTTTGCCCAAAGGATTTCTGTCGTTTTCTGTCTCAGCATACAAGAATGTGACTTCTTCCATCAATAATTACCAGATTGAAGCCACACTGACTCTCAGCATCCCTATATTGCATCCCTCCCTCTCCTTTCATGAATAATTACTATCTCCTGCTTAGATGTGAAAGTAGACAGATATTATGAGAAGAATAAATATTTTACCAGTAATACCCAGAAAGATGAGAGAAGACAGGCGGTTAGGTGATCTGAGGTAAGAATTGTTATGAGAAGGCAAGGCAAAGAGTTTGTTAAATGGTGTGGACAGTGAGGGGGAGAGAGAAGGGGCTCAAAGCCATGACTCTCAGGGCAAAGTTTGAGGTGTGGCAGTGAGTGGGCAAATCTATTTAACAATTGTTGTAGAAGTACTTTTCCAGTGTTTTTTAAATCACAATGTAAGCTCCCTGTTTCTCATATAAAAGAGTCATAATTTGATCAGAAGAGGTCAGCCAGGCTCTCTGCTTTCTCAGCCTCAACACAGACATTCCTGACATTTCCTGAGACTCCTCCAGCCCTGGTCTCCAGTGTACATAAAATTATCAAGGATAATCAAAGATGGTGATTTTAAGTCTTTCGTTCTCTCTCCTTCTCTCTCTTTCTCCCTTCTCCACCCCACCCCCCGCCCCAGGCTGTGTGTTCCACTGAGGACCTGTTAAGGAAGGCCTCTACAGTAGAATGGATACTATTTGACAGCTGGGATCATTTCTCTGGGTGATACACTCATAGAATTTACAAACTATTAAATAATAGCAGCACCCAAATCCCAATCTATCATCCATCACAGACAGGTTCAAATCTATCTCCTGGTTGGAAATCAGTTTGTTTCTTAAGCCTGCTAAACCACAAGTGACCAAATTTCATATCAATACAGTAATGAGTCAATAGACTTTGACAAGC